TCTATCCATCTATCCATCTATCCATCTATCCATCTATCTATCTATCTATCTATCTATAATACAATGGAATAAGAAAAGATACATATTTTACTATGTAATTAGTCGTATTCATAGATTTCAGATCACAAGCCACCCTGAGAGAGAAAAAGAAAGATGATAATCATATTAATGATGATAATAAGAAAAATAAGTAACATCTTGTTCCTCCCCCATAGGTTAGAGGTCGCTACACCTTCTCCAGCCGGGTGACCTACTCTATTAATATAATATCTCAATTAATTTAATATCTATCTATCTATCTATCTATCTATCTATCTATCTATCTATCTATCTATCTATCTATCTATCTATCTATAATACAATGGAATGAGAAAAGATACATATTTTACTATGTAATTAGTCGTATTCATAGATTTCAGATCACAAGCCACCCTGAGAGAGAAAAAGAAAGATGATAATCATATTAATGATGATAATAAGAAAAATAAGTAACATCCCCCCCCCACCTCCAGGTCAGAGGTCGCTACACCTTCTCCAGCCGGGTGACCTACGCCTGTAACGCGGGTTACCAGCTTCTGGGCCGGGCGGAGCGTGAGTGTCAGGCGAACCGTCAGTGGTCCGCGGCGCCCAGCTGCGTGCTGCTGCGCTGCCCGCCGCCGCCGCCGCTCCCCAACGGCCTGCACCGCGGCGCCGACTACCAGGTAGGGCTGTCACTAGTGATGTGTCCCTTCGTATCGAGGCTTCGAAGCGCGTGTCGAGAAATCCCGGATGATTTCTGTGAAGCGCGTATCGAGGCTTGTGTCGACGACGTATGCGGTGACGTTTGAAGCCTCGCGAACCGGCCGAACCACGTGACTGATTCAGGAAGTGGTTCGCGGTTTGGCGGTCTATTTGAAAAACAAGGGCCAGCAAAACGCAATGAATCCCCCCCTCACATTTTGTGGACTTGGGACTTAATTACGAGTTTGTGAGCGATCTATTCAAGCTTCCCTGTCATTGTATCATAAAGACAGACATCATCTAAAAGTTTATAATTAATGTATAAGCATCACAAACATCCATCCGTCCATTATGCTAACCGCCGATCCCCACGCTGTACGGTTTACATTTATTGTCCACTAGGGGGCAGAACAGAGCAAATGAAGCACCATGAAGCTTCAACACACGAGTGAACCAATTCGATGGAACGCTTCAAAGCTTTATGAAGCTTCATCTCGCCATCACTAGCTGTCACCATACTAACGCTTTCAACTCGATACCGATACTCAGGAAAATACTCGATACTCGATACCATTTTCGATACCACAAGGATAAAAACAAAGACCCCAAAATTGAACTGAATTGTGTCTTTCATTTCAAACTGACCTGTTACTGATGTTATAGTGACTGGTGGCCCACATTAATGACCCTAACCATAACCCTGACCCTAACCCTAATCCTAATCCTAACCCTAACCCTAACCCTAACCCTAACCCTGACCCTAAATCTCACCCTGACCCTAACCCTAACCCTAACCCTCCAGCCTTCATAATTGTGAGAAATAAATGTTTTTGGGTTAAACTTGTTTGGACTTTTTGTACAAACCTATTTAATATACACTATTTTAACATAATATGTATAAAGGTCAATTAAGTGTTTGAAGGATCCATTTAACTATTTTTAAATTAATGTCTATATTGCCATGAGGCAATTATGATTTTCTCGCCTGGGATCTTTCTATTGGTGATGTAATCAAAATGGCAGACTTGGATGTGGGCGGAGTTGGATTAATGTACTTGATTAATGTTGGCGTGTTGTTATTAGCCATTAGCCGCAGCTAGCAGTTCAAGGCTAACGTCTTGTTAATGATCATAAACAATGTAAATGAATACATAAATAAATCAGAGAGAAGGGGTGGTGGTATCGATACTTTTGAAAATGAGTATCGTTACTTTTGACTACCAGGTAGGGTTTTCAACTCTATACCATTTGACAGTAAAAATCAAAGCTGCATTTAGGAGTAGGGATGGGGATCGTTAATATTTATCGATATCGATACCTTTATCGATACTCCTTATCGATCCGAGTCTTTATCGATACCACTATCGATACTTTTCTGTTATTTGGTGGAAAGACAATGCGACAATATTTAGCAAATAAATAATTGCATTGCATTGTAATTTTTAACAAATGTTGGCATCAGTAGTTTAATTATATATTCTAAAATAATTAGAGCAATATACAACTGTATTACTCATGTTTCTCGCCAAAAACTCAATTTCCCTTTTCTTTACGTTACACTTGAACGCATCATGATAACCTAATTGTCGTTTTACTGAGCCAATCTGAACACACGTCTGAAACTTTATTTACTTTTCAAGCTAACTAGCTTGTATGCTGCCGATTACAACACGGATTTCACAATTACTATTTTTAACTGACCGGACAAGCTACAAAGTCTGTGTGTGCGCTTACCAGTGGTACTCTGAGTGGATGATGACACACAATTATGTTACAGGACCTCCGGGAGAAAAAAAAAACGACCAGACTCGATAGTGGTATCGATAAGCCCAAGCGTTATTGATTTTCGGGTTTTGAAAAAAGTGGAACCGGGTCCTTGATATAACCGGGTTTCGATCCCCATCCCTATTTAGGAGGAAATCCCCCGGATTCGTACTTAAATTCGAGGATCATCAAAGCAAGGGATTCTCAGGCTTAAAGCCAGATCTGTGTTAGCATCCAATAAGCTGGAAAACAAACAGAAAAACCTCTTTTTATCCGTGTAGTTGTGTTTACATAATGCATGTTTTTGTATGGGTTCATTAGACCCGGTTGAGGATCTCATCCTTTCATAAAATGCCTCCTAACTAGCAGTAGTTTGACACAGTCTTTTAATATAAAAGAGGGTTTTATTTCAGGAGTAGGGCTGTCACCATACTAACGTTTTCAAGTGGACATGGACAAAGTGTTATTAACATCCTTAAGCACTCACCTAAAACTTTATCTTAAGCACATTTTGGAATGGGATTTTTCGAACCCAACTTCCCCCACCTCCCAGCATGGAGGGTCAATGTTTTGATACCCCTAACCCTAACCCTGATCCTGACCCTAACCCCAACCCCTAACCCTAAACCTAACCCTAACCCTGACCCTCACCCTGACCTTATCGGTACTTTTTTGAATATCGATACTTTTGAAAATGAGTATCGTATCCGGATACAACATTTTAGTATCGATACTTTTGAAAATGAGTATCGTATCCGGATACAACATTATAGCATGGATACTTTTTTGAGTATCGATACTTTTGAAAATGAGTTTCGTATCCGGATACAACTTTTTAGTATCGATATATTTTTTTGAGTATCGATACTTTTGAAAATGAGTATCGTATCCGGATACAACATTTTAGTATCGATACTTTTGAAAATGAGCATCGTATCCCGATACGACATTTTAGCATCGATACTTTTGAAAATGAGTATCGTATCCGGATACGACATTTTAGTATCGATACTTTTTTGAGTATCGATACTTTTTTTGGTATCAATACTTTTTTGAGTATCGAAACTTGTGAAAATGAGCATCGTATCCGGGTAGGACATTTTAATATCGATATATTTTTTCGAGTATCGACACTTTTGACCACCCTTCTCCCAGGTGGGCCGCAAGGTGTCGTACTCGTGCCTGGAGGGTTTCGAGCTGTCGGGGGACGCCGTGTGGACGTGTCAGAAGGACGGCCGCTGGGAGCCGGGCCGGGCGCCGGGCCGGGCGCCATTTTGCTCGCCGGCGCGCTGCCCGGAGCCGCCGCTGGAGGCGCGGCGCCTGGTTCTGCGGGCGCTGGACGCCGCGGCGGGCACGGTGGAGCTGAGCTGCGAGGAGGGCTTCGTGCTGCGCGGCGCCCGCTTCCTGCGCTGCACGCCGTCCCGCGAGTGGAACGCCACTTTCCCCGAGTGCCGCCCGGCGCTCTGCGGGCCGCCGCCGGAGGTGGCGTTCGCCACGGCGGTCGCCGCGGACGACGCCGCAACGCCCGACGCCGATTCCGATTCCCACGGCTCGCCGGCGTTCCCCGTGGGCGCCACGGTGACCTACGCCTGCATGAGCGGCTTCTCCCTGCGCCCGGGCGCCGCGGCGACGGCGTCCTGCATGGCGAGCGGCGCCTGGAGCTCGCCGCTGCCCGAGTGCGCGGCGGCCGAATGCCCGCAGCCCGCGGAGGTGGCCGACGGCGTGGTGGACGTCCAGGGCCTCGCCTACCTGAGCCGGGCGCAGTACAGCTGCCGGCCCGGGTTCCGGTTGCTAGGCAACGCCACCATGCTGTGCGGCGAGCGCGGGCAGTGGCTGGGCGCCGCGCCGACCTGCCGGCCCGTGGAGTGCCCGCCGCCCGCCGAAATCCCCGCCGGATCGGTCGCCTACACCAAGCTCCAGTTCGGCCACAGCGCCACCTACTCCTGTCGCCGCGGTTACCGTCTCCAGGGGGCGGGGACTGTGAGTTGCCGGGCCGACGGCGAGTGGGACGGCGCCCCGCCCGCCTGCCTGCCCATCTCCTGCCCGCCGCCGCGGCCGCTGGCGAGCGGCTTCGTGGAGGGCCGGGACCACGGGTTCGGCGCCACCATCTTCTACAGCTGTTTCCCCGGTTACCAGCTGGCGGGCGCCGACCACTTGACCTGCGAGGAGGCAGGCTGGTCGGGCGCCGCCCCCGCGTGCGTGCGCTCCGACTGCGGGCTGCCGCCGCACATCGACTTCGGCGACTACCGGCGGGTGTCTGAGTCAACGGATGGCGCCCGGCAGAATGGCGCCCTGATGGATGGCGCCCGACAGGATGGCGCCCAGATGGATGGCGCCTGGAAGAATGGTGACCGGCTTGATGGCGCCTGGCCAGAAGGCGGCCGTCCTGATGGCGTCCAGCAGAATGGCGCCTGGCAGAATGGCGCCCAGACGGATGGCGCCCGGAAGGATGGCGCCCGTCCTGATGGCGTCCAGCAGGATGGCGCCCGGATGGATGGCGTCCAGCCGGATGGCGTCCAGCAGGATGGCGTCCAGCCGGATGGCGTCCAGCCGGACCTGAGCTTCCTCCACGGGTCCCTGATCGAGTACCGCTGTCACCGTGGTTACGAGCTGACCCGCCCCACCCTGCTGGCGTGCCAGGAGGACGGCGCCTGGAACGGGACGGCGCCGGCCTGCGTCCCCGTGGCGTGCGAGCCGCCGCCGCGCCCGGCGCACGGCGGGCTGAACCTGACCGCCATCCCGCCGGTTGCCGTGGCGACCTACTGGTGCGAGGACGGCTACGAGCTGAACGGCGAGCGGGAGCGGCGCTGCGTTGCCGGGCGCCGCTGGTCGGGCGCCGCCCCCGTCTGCCGGCCCCGGGACTGCGGCGACCCGGGCGCCGTCGGCAACGCCACGGCAACCGGCGGGGACTTCTCCTACCCGGGCGCGGTGCACTACGAGTGCCACGCCGGCTTCGTCCTGCGGGGCGCCGACACCATCGGTTGCCAGGCCGACGGGCGCTGGAGCGGCCCGCCGCCGCGCTGTGACATCATCAGCTGCGACCCGCCCGCCGACATCAGCCACGGGTTCGTGAACGGGTCCAGCTTCGCCGTGGGCGCCGCCGTGGAGTACGTCTGTTTCCAGGGTTACCGGGTGTCCGGCGACCCCGTGCTGCGCTGCACGCCGTCGGGCGCCTGGGCGGGCGCCGTGCCGACCTGCGAGCCCTGCGTCTGCACGCCGCCGCTGCTGAGGCACGGCGCCGTGCTGGCCGGCGGCGAGCTGGGCGGCCATCTTGGAGGTGGCGAGCTGGGTGGCGTGCTGGGTGGCGGTGGCGAGTTGACCGATGGCGTGCTGGGTGGCGGTGGCGTGCTGAGAGGTGTTGAGCGTGGCGGCGTGCTGGGTGGTGGCGAGCTGGGCGGCCATCTTGGCGGTGGCTTGCTGGGGGGCGATGGCGTGCTGGGCGGCCATCTTGGAGGTGGCAAGCTGGGTGGCGGCGAACGTGGCAGTGTGCCGGGCGATGGCAAGCTGGATGGCGATGGCGACCTGGGCGGCCATCTTGGCGGCGGCCATCCTGGCGGTGGCGTGCTTGGCGGCCATCTTGGAGGTGGCGAGCTGCCCTGCGGGACGGCGCTCCGTTTCCGCTGTGATGATGGCTTCCGGTTGCTGGGCCCCGCCCACTCCGTGTGCGGGGCGGGGGGGCTGTGGGCGCCGGGCGTGCCTCTGTGCGCCCGCGGTCGCTGTGGCGACGCCCCCCCGCCCGCCGTTGCCAACGGCGTCCTGCAGGGCGGCGCCATTGGCGGCGGCGGGCTGCTGTACCGCTGCCGGCCCGGGTTCCGGCCCAGAGGCTCGCCGCTGGTGGCGTGCGGCCGCGACGGGCGGTGGGCGGAGCCTCGCCTCAGCTGCGAGGCGGCGAGCTGCGGACGCCCGCCGGAGGTGGCCAACGCCACGGCAACCGGGGACGCCTTCACCTTCCCCAACCAGGTCACCTACAGGTACGACCTTTGACCCCCGAAGATTAATCACCAACGACTCGTAATGTTCTTCTGAGCAGAAATGATGAAAAATTTCTGCAGTTTTTACTCACAATTTGACGTAAATGAACCCAATTAAACTAAACATGACAAGAATAATTAATTAACTAATTGTAAGATAATTTAGTTTTCTTCCTTTTCTTCTCAATAATTAGTTATCTTATACAAAAATAAGTGGAAAAAATATTCAAGGTAAAATAAATTAAAATTTTCTACATTTTGCTAAATGAGCACTAAACAAAACGGTTTAAAATGAAGGTTAAATTTAGCTTTTGGTTTTTCTCAACCGTTTACATGCTTTTTAAAAAATTAATCATACAATTGTAATGCTTTTATTTATTTATAAATTAACATTTAATGGGGCTTTAGCAGAACTAATAGCTTTGATCTAAAATGCAGTCGTTCTGATTCAAATCAACTGTTTTTAAGACATGGTTTTAGTATCTAATATTTTATACAGTTTATGTTTAGTGTTTTTTATTGATTCGGGTCTCTTAATAAGGTCACTAAGCTTAGCCAATCACAGCTAACATAGCTCAAAGGTCTTTGAACGCATCACAGTCCATGTTTCTCCTTCTATTTATTAATAAATTAACATTTTATTGGGCTTTAGTAGAACTACTGGCTTTGTGCTGTCGTTCTGGTTCAAATCAACCGTTTTTAAGACATGGTTTTAATATCTAATATTTTATACAGACTGTGTGTAGTGTTTTTTGTTGATTTGGGTCTTTTTTAACATGTTTTTATATTGAATAAAGTCATTAAGCTTCCTCACATTTAAGACAAAGATTAATCTAAAGTGACTTCATATCAAGATGAGAAGAACTGAACAGTCTCAGACCTTTGACCCCCAGAGATGAATTACCAACGACTCACAATGTTCTCCCATTCAGGATTCTGAGCAGAAATTATGACAGAAAAACTCTGAATTTCTGCTATTTTTACTCAGTATTTGGCGTAAATGAGGCCAATTAAACTAAACATGACAGGAATAATTAATTACTTATTTATTTTATTTACTTCCTCCCATTTAAGACAAAGATGAACTTAAAATTACTTCATATAAATATGAAAAGAACTGAAAAGATTTAGACTGAACTCATTCTAAAACTTGTATCTAATATTTTATACAGAGTTTTATACAGAGTGTTTTTTTTTTTTATTGATTTGGGTCTCTTAATAGGGTCACTAAGCTTAGCCAATCACAGCTAACATAGCTCAGAGGTCTTTGAACGCATCACAGACCATGTTTCTCCTTCTATTTATTAATATATGCACATTTTATCAGTCGTTCTAATTCAAATCAACTGTTTTTAAGACGTGGTTTTATCATCTTTTATTTTATACAGAGTATGTTTAGTGTTTTTTATTGATTTTGGTCTCTAAATAAAGTCACTAAGCTTAGTCAATCACAGCCAACGTAGCTCAGAGGTCTTTGAACGCATCACAGTCCATGTTTCTCCTTCTGTTTAGGGTTAGGGTTACATACAGAGTATGTTTAGTGTTTTTTTATTTATTTGGGTCTCTTAATAAATTCACTAAGCTTAGCCAATCACAGCCAACATAGCTCAGAGGTCTTTGAACGCATCACAGTCCATGTTTCTCTCTGTTTTTAAGACATGGTTTTAGTATCTAATATTTGATACAGAGTATGTTTAGTGTTTTTTATTGATTCTGGTCACTGAGCTTAGCCAATCACAGCTAATCACGGCTATTGACGTTGTTTTATGGTCTTTGAAGGCATCATTTCCCTTGCCCCCCCCCAGGTGTGATGATGGGTACGAGCTGGCCACGCCCTCCTCCTCCTTATCCTGTCAGAGTGATGGGACCTGGTCCCGGCTCACCGTGGCGTGCCGACCGGCGCCATGCCGCCTCCCGAACGCCACCGACCCCCGAGTGGTGGTCAGCGGGGGGGGGCTGACCCCGGTGGGGGGGGCCCTGACCCCGGTGGGGGGGGCCCTGACCCCGGTGGGGGGCAGGGTGGCCCTTTCCTGCCCGCCGGGATTCTCCCTGAAGGGCCCGGCGCTCGCCGAGTGTCAGGTGGGCAGCGCCAAGATGGCTGCTCTGTGTGTGTGTGTGTGTGTGTGTGTGTTTGTTTCTGTGCCAGAGTGAGGACCACAGCCATTTTTTAGTCCAACAAAGTGAGGACTTTTTTGAGAAGTGAGGTATCGAATTAGCCACAACCTCAAAATTTATAGCAGTACAGTATTTGTGTATTTTTCAGTGTATTAATAGTATTAAATTAGTTATTATACAATTAATTGTATTAAAATATATATTAATTCAAATGTTTAGTATATTTGCTTCTTAATCATTTAAAATGTCAGAAAATAAGTAGGTTGGAGCCTTCGGTTCTCACTCTGGGACTTACAAGAGTGTGTGTGTGTGTGTGTGTGTGTGTGTGTGTGTGTGTGTGTGTGTGTGTGTCTTTGTTTCTGTGTCAGAGTGAGAACCAGGGCTAGTTTTTAACCAACAAAGTGAGATTTTTTGGGGGAATGAGGTATCAGGCGGCAACGAATCTGCCACAACCTAAAGCATTAATTTTTAGTATTTTTAGCATTTAGTATTTCTAGTTGTATTTGTGTGTATATGTGTATTCTTTAGTGTATTAATCAGTACAACCTACAAAAAAATATTTATTTTAAATCTTAAGTACATTTACTTCGGTTCTCCTCTGGCTGGTTCTTGATTTAATTCTTCTGCTAAATCTGAAGTAGCGTATTCTGTGTGGGAAACATGTAGTGGGAAAACTCAATCTTTATAAGTGACTCAGAACTACTGGTCCTCAGTTTGTGGTACTTACAATAGTGTGTGTGTGTGTGTGTGTGTGCGCCACCAGGTGGGCGGAGCCTGGGCCCCCAGCATCTCCTCGGCCTCCTGCGTGGCGGCGGGGTGTGATAAGCCCCGCCCCCTCCTCCACGGCCTGATGGAGGGAGACCGCTTCGGCTTTGGAGACGCCGTCCGGTTCTCCTGCCTGCCCGGATTCCTGCTGAAGGTGGAGTTTTATAGTTTTATCCACTGAAATCACCACTAAAAACCTGCTGTCATACACTGTTTATAGGGGAGGGGTGTCATTTTGTCATTTCACTGAATGGGGTTGTAATTTTACTCTATTCTGTCTAATTATATTATATTTTATTTTGCTCTGTTGTACAGTAGAACCTCTACTTACGATGCCTAAACAAAACTTATTTAAATAAAAATAAATAAGTTAAGTTAGCTTAAGTTAGCTTGAAGTTCAGGAAGTGAAAGAGGGGAGGGGTGTCATTTTACTGTATGGGGTTGTAATTTTACTTTATTCTGTCTAATTATATTATATTTATTGCTCTTTTGTACAGTAGAAGCTCTACTTACGATGCCGAAATTTTCCAACATCCGAAATTAAATTAAATCAAATATTCGATTCGACACCCGAAGGAAATTTCCAGTGACGTCGAAGTCTTAGAAAATAATCTATAAAATATAAAAGTTAAATAAGAATAAATAAGCTAAGTTAGCTTAAGTTAGCTTAAAGTTCAGGTAGTGAAAGAGGGGAGGGGTGTCATTTTACTGTATGGGGTTGTAATTTTACTTTATTCTGTCTATAATTATATTATATTTTGCTCTGTTGTACAGTAGAACCTCTACTTACGATGCCTAAACAAAACTTATTTAAATAAAAATAAATAAGTTAAGTTAGCTTCAGTTAGCTTAAAGTTCAGGTAGTGAAAGAGGGGAGGGGTGTCATTATACTGTATGGGGTTGTAATTTTACTTTATTCTGTCTAATTATATTATATTTTGCTCTGTTGTACAGTAAAACCTCTACTTACGATGCCTAAACAAAGCTTATTTAAATAAAAATAAATAAGTTAAGTTAGCTTAAGTTAGCTTAAAGTTCAGGTAGTGAAAGAGGGGAGGAGTGTCATTATACTGTATGGGGTTGTAATTTTACTTTATTTTGTCTAATTATATTATATTTTGCTCTGTTGTACAGTAGAACCTCTATTTACGATGCCTAAACAAAACTTATTTAAATAAAAATAAATAAATTAAGTTAGCTTAAGTTAGCTTAAAGTTCAGGTAGTAAAAGAGGGGAGGGGTGTCATTATACTGTATGGGGTTGTAATTTTACTTTATTCTCTCTAATTATATTATATTTTTTGCTCTGTTATACAGCAGAACCTCTACTTACGATGCCTAAACAAAACTTATTTAAATAAAAATAAATGAGTTAAGTTAGCTTCAGTTAGCTTAAAGTTCAGGTAGTGAAAGAGGG